CGAAGCATAAACACTAGGATCACGGAGCACAAACGAAGTTGCAGATTGTGACAAACGGAAAAATCAGCAGTAGCGGAGCACGCACTACTAGACGGCCACCAAATACGCTTCGACGAAGTTGACATTCTGCACCAATCTGAAAGATACTACCCGAAACTCACCAGGGAGGCCATCGAAATATTTAAACACCAAAACAATTTCAACAGAAAAGAAGAAATTACGGCACTCAATCCAGATTGGAAGCGCGTTTTGCGCCAAACAGCATGTGCGCCGAAGCGTTGGAACCCCCACGCATGAGCACACACGGCTGGGCGGCATAAATACGACTGGGAAGCCAGCAGTTGAATCATTCTTAGTCGGAAAGCATGGGAGATCACTTCGCCCACTGCCTCATCGCCTTTGAAAATGTCCACCGCAGTTGTGGACGAAACGTCAGGAAGCAATTCCGATAGACCACGGCTGCAAAGCCCGGAAAACATTCCTAAATGTAATCTGACCGGCCGTGAAAGCCTTCATAGTCTAATAAATGCAATATTTCTCTAATTATTTATTCTTGAAATACGCACTGTAAAGATGGATTTATATCGCGTCTTGAAACTGAAAAGTTCTTTAATCGGCTAGCAGTTAGTTTTCTATCAAAAAAACACAAAATTATATCGAAATCCTATGAAAACTAATGTTTGGTTGCCTACCCAAAACGACTGACAGCTGACAAGCCACGTGATTCGGATTTCCCACTTAAATATAGACAACCCTATATATGATGATCAACAAACCAAAATCAGATCTTCCTTGCAAAACAATTGAGCATCCCATAAACGTCAAACAACGACCAGGTCATTTTTGTGCTTATGTGTGTGCAATTTTCGGGAAAGTTTTCCATTTTTTTCTGGGTAAGTGCATTTTTACTCCTATTGATGTATGGTTATTTTGTTTAAAAGCTACTGCACTGACTTTGGCGCAATTTTCATGCTCCAACTCGCTGTTGTTGTCCAATATTCGATTTTAATATTAAAATCATAGCTTGGCAATTAACCGCACTTATTAGTAATTGCCGTACTTCTTCGAGTTCATAAACTATTTCAAATAGAATCTAGTAAAACGGGATTTCGAGTATTGTGCTATCAACAATATAATATTGTCCTAATAGTAGAGGGCCATACAATTAATAGGTCATTCTGCATATCCCTTAACATCAAGAAGTGTTTTCATAGATAAATCGAATGGTGCAAGTACCAAACTTAACCATCAAACTGGACTATTATTTTAAAGTGTTAGCTTTTATAAAATGTTTGTGAACTAAGCCCAACTGCAATCGATTATTCTATTCCAGATAAACACTTGTACACACGTATAATAATTGCGAGAAAGGCCTACAACAGGAACACCGTTTGAACAT